ACCCAGACTGGAGTGCAGTGGCACAGTCATAGCTCACTGAATGAAACCTCAAATTCCCAGGCTGAAGGAATCCCTCCCTCCGCAGCCTGGGTAAGACCACAGGCACACACCACCATGCCTAGCTAGGTTTTATTATTTATTTGTTATTATTATTATTTCGTAGAGATAGGGTCTTCCTATGTTGCCCAGGTGGACCTTGAACTCCTGGCCTCAAGTGATCCTCCCACTTCCACCTCCCAAAACGCTGGGATTACAGATGGGAGCCACCACTCCTGGCCTCACTGCATACATACTAAATCAAATAGGGTGGCATATGCATTATTTGAAGATGTTGCTGAAATGCTTTACCTCTTTATAAAAGTCCAAGCATTTATTCAATAAACATTTCACAATCTATAAAAAAGCAGGGTAAGAAGCTTACAGTTCAGTAGAAAGAGATAAACATGAGGTAGAATGGAAGGCTGGATATGTTCTAAGAGAAATGGGTGGGCCCCTGGGAGAGAAGTTGATTCTATCTTGGGCCAGAGGATGCAAACTCAGTATATTTCATGTGAAAAGTTGGGAGAAGAATCAAACCAGGTGATTCTACAAGCATCGTGCCTTCCTTACTCCAACATGAAAGCTTTCAAGTAATGATATCTTTAGCAGAGATACAAATATGTTTTTATTTTCCTGAAGTTGAAAGTGTATTTGGAATAAGTCAGGGGATGATGGCAATGAAAACTCTTTCTTCCAAAAAAAAATTGTTATTTTATGCAGATGCGACTGCATCAGCTAGACTTTCTTACTGTCTGCACAATGCTCACCTTTCTAAGTTAGATGCTGCAGGTAAGCTGATGATACTTTCCCTCCTTTCTTTTGAAGATGGAAATGACAGCTGTACCTAACACAAGGCTTTGCCATCTGTATGCATTAGACAAGCCAATTTAACTTTTAGGGTAATAGGACTTTCCAAGCCTTTAAAGCTAAAGGCAAATGAAAAAAATAAAGGACAGCTTAGGCTTACTCAGATTCTGGAAGTGATTTTTCTCTCTTTGGTAAATTGAGATAATGGAAACTAGCAATACCGCCATATTTACTCCATGAGATCCTGTTCAGTAATTGTATTTGAATATATATTACAACAAAGGAATAACAAAAGGTCAAGTGGGATGATGTGTCCATGTTGGAGCTTGAGAGAACATACACGTCGGTGCAGATGGGGTTCTGTGTGGAGCGCTTGTGAATGTCAGAACACATCAGGGGCATCAGAAGGAGTCAGCGATTTCAACATGTTGCGAATCTGGGGCATCGTTCTGTGTTTCCTATAGAAAGGCACAAGCAGAATCAATCAAATTGGGTTTTAATTAGAACACGAGTCAATCAGGAGACTAAATTCCAAGGCTAATTCTAACAGTGTCCAAAAACCAAAACAACAAAAAAAAAGAGCTCAATTAGACATTGTCTTCTCGTTCCCAGCTAAAACGGAAGCATCTGCCTAATTAGAAAAAGACATCATTCATCCAACACAAATTAGGAGGCTCTTCCATGAAGGTTGCATGCAAAATTATATGAGGATGGGTAAGAATTTCTATAACTCCCAAGAACATGTTTACAGAATTATACAGCCTTTGATGAAATTCTCGCTGCATCCTGCTCTCAGGGTTGCGTGAAGGGAGTTATCCTTATCTTTAAATGAACAAATGCCAAGAATAGCCTACCCAATAGCCTCTCTCAGCAGAGCAAGAAAAACGTGTAAGTTTTTTTTTTTTTTTTTTTGACTGAATGCACATTTAGCTTCCCTTTTTCTGTACTGATTATATTTTCCAAACTCATTTCTATTGAATTGGCCTAGCTGAAAATTTAATTGACTTCATTTAAGACAAAAATAGGTTTTATAACAGTTGTACTGATTTTTTAATGCAAAATAGAAAAATAAAATAATGCAAGTGTGTTATTTATTCAAGGGTGCCAATCTCATCCCACATTCCCATGTGAGTGATTCAATCCAGACCCCACACCAGTCATCTTACGATGCCCAGAAAATTATTATACTTGTGACCACATAAAGCAACTTATCACTTGATTGAGAGGGAGTAAAAATTACACATATTACAACTCTGCATTTTAACATAAAGTAAGTCCATTCAGTCACACATTTAGTGAGAGCTCCTCACCAAAGAACACCTATTAACAATCCGCCTGCACATATGGCTCTATAGAGTACAAAACAAAGCTCACCTGTTTCTGAGGAAACCGAAATGTCAGTGCCTGCAAATAATATACTGTGCAAAGATCATATTTTGTTCATGTGGAATTCAGTTTTCATGTGCAGAGTAAATTTTTAATGAAATATTTTTCTTCTCTCTACCCAAATATCATTCCCGGAATATTCTTCAGAGACAAAAAGACATATAATCTTCAAACTCAAATCCTTGTTTTTTCTAGTTCAAGTTACACTCAGATTAAGATCTACGGGTTTTATATATTAATAAACTGACTGTGTATGTAATAATGCCTCTAGTTACCTGTGGCAGGTTGGTTAATGCTTTAGTACTTCTTCATTAGGAAAGATTTTTCCTGATTTCGGAGCAACTCAGGGAGTCCGGGTGAAACACAGCTCCAATCTAGAGAAAGACCCACCAGGTAAAAGGTCATGGAGATGACTCAAGTCTCAGTACCAAGGAAAAGGATTAAAATGGTCCACCTGTGAAAATCCCTTCCATCCCTTTCTCAATCTCCTGCAGAGAATGCAGCCTCAAGCCTTGAGATACTGAGAGGGAAACATACTCTCTCTCCAATATTTTTATGGAAGACTGTTGTAAGGCAAGAAAAAATCACCGGCTCTTGTGGGAATTCATGGCAAAGAATTCAGTATATACCAAATTATCCATGTGCACTGCAAAAAAGAAGTGGACAAAAACGTACATCCCTTTGCTCCTGGTCTCCAAGCCCCTTTCTTGCTCCAAATACATCTCCTTTCTTGACCTCTAAAACGTGCCTTAAGTACTAAGGCAACTTTCCAACATTTGCTCCTTTCATAACAATACTCTAAGGCCTGTGTTCTCTCAGTTCTTTGTTTTGTTGAATACATCACGCATCCACACAGAACTGAACAGGGTGGAGGTATCAATGGAGCCCATCACAGCTAACTCCTACGTGCAGCTCCCTTCCGGCCTCCACTCCCACTCAGTAGCACAGCTCTCAAGCTGTGCTTTGCCTGGGAACAGCCATTGTTAGGACAGACAGAGACGTCCCACAGGCAGTCCAGCCAGGGCCCAGGTTTGTGCCATGTGTAGCACTGGCCAACCGGGTCAGTAGTAAATTGCTAACCAAAGTGGCTTTCTCGGAATTCAAAATGGGCATACAGAGAATGGTCAGTTTGTATCCACGGTAGAATAAAGCAAAACAAGGAGATACATCATAACAAAGAAACTGCATTGATCTGAAGAGGGCAGAGAGAGTCATCAGATCCTTGATCTATCTCCAAGTTCAGGGCTCCAATTCTAGTCGGCATCTGTCTTGAGTGAGTCTTTAGGTTAAAACAGAAAATGCCTAAATAAGTACTAAACCATCCATTTTCTCTCCAATTTTACCTCCTTTTCCCCTCCCTCCAACACCCAAGGATCCCAACACCATTCTTCACTACTCTAGAATCTTCTGCCTCCCTCTACCCCTGCTCCTTCGGCAAATGTATCTCCCCCATCCCAATCATGGAGGTTGTTAGAGACAGCTAAGGCAATAGTCTTATACCGTCTGTTGAATGCAGAAGAAATGTTCTAAAACCACTTTAGTTAAAAAGCATTGGCTAGTATGTAAGAACAGTTGGAAGAAAAATGTCTGAAATGTAGAGGAGAAGCAAATTTTTGGAGACTATATCCAGGAAGGCAACAGAGACCGGAACAAGTGAACATGTTAGCATCACCAGTTTCAGAAAGCAGTTTAAGCAAACGATGAACACTGGGGGTAAGAACCAACAATTAAAATATGGTTCAAAGCTGTCTTTGGAGGCCTGTGGAAAATGGGAATGAGAATCCAAGTAGCCTTTTTGGAAATGTGATATGTAAGTGAAGATGGCTTTAAATGATGACAATTTTCACATCACTGAGGGTAATTGGCAGATTTTTTTTCCTCTGTGAAACTTTATTTTTATGTTTATTCCTGGTTCCTGACATCTGATAAAGAGCAATGAAATCAACCCATTTTAGATCACGTAAGTAGCATTTAGCATTTTGCTAGTCTGCAATTTGGGATGGGGGCCATCTTTACCACACCAATGACAGAAATTCAGCTTGCTTTGCCATACCACTGCAGTGTAGTCCATTTTGAAAAGGGTAGAGCCAGTAATTACCTCAAAGAGGGAACGAAACTTGTGTTTTATAGTAAAATAAATGCCTTTTAAGCTTTTTAAGCCAAAAAGGCTCATTCTCAAAACCCATTTAATTTGATTTCAACTCTGAAAAATCATCCCATAATCACCGCATTTTCTCCTTGCCCCTGGAAGATGGTACTTTTATCTAAAAGCCAAAGTAGGCACTTTGATTCCTCAACCCAAGTGCTTATACCCTGTGTTTCAGCCAGCACACAGTCCATGCACCATGCGATGAGGGTGTCTCTTCATCGCTTTCCCAGCCACAGTATATGTCATCGTCAGCAAAATTCCTGGATACCAGGAAGATCCCACAGATTAAAATTTTATTCTCTATAGAATGCAAGTATTTGAATTAAAGGGAACCACACAAAGTGGGTTTGGCATTAAAATCATCACGAAGGAGAAAAACATCTCCTGATGTTTACTTTGTGGTAGAAAATGGTCCTTAAAAATCAAACAACAAAAACTTCTTGATGAAGCACGAACTAAAAAAAAGATATCATTGGCTCCACTTTAGTTTTCTAATAGTCTCAGATTTCTCAGGACAAATTTAATTTTAATTTGTGCGTGTGTGTGTGTGTGTGTGTGTACATGTACAGGTTTCAAAAAGCACCTACAGAAAAACAGATCCATGAAAAACATGATGAAGCCAAATAATATTAGACACAAAATGATTGGAAACACTGGACTAGACAATGTACACAAAATTTTCCTTTACTTTTTAAACAAAATGCCACTCTATCCACATAATACCCAGTTCTCGTCTTTCTCCAGTTCTCACACAACCACCTCATGCTTAGCAGAGTACAGCACCAATATGAACTAGAGAAAAACCAGATATGGGCCATTCATCCTGGGTCTCTGAAGATGTCCAAAAGCCACAGGACTGGGGGGAAGTGCCTGGCCAAGAGGGACAGGTCTTCTCAGGCTCAGACATCAGGTCACAGCGGGTGGCCCTGCTGCCTTCCTGGCCACTTGACAATCCCTCTGAAATAGAGTTATCCTGGAGAGTGACAAATTACCAACCCTGGAGGCTATAGCCCAGTGCTGCCAAGGCCAGAACCGTGCAAAAGGAAGAAAAGCCACAGCACCTAATCCATGACCCAGAGTTGGCCCTTCAGGGAAATGGAGCTGCCAAATTTCAATTGGGTCAATATTTGGTCTTTGTTCTCAAAGTTGCCCTCAAGCTACAACTGTTTTCCTTTTGTGTGGGTTTTGGTGGAATAAGAAGCAGTCTGTTTCCTGCAAAGGTGTTTAAAATGAGAGGCAGTTTCCGACCATCTCAGTTAATGTCAGTTGAATAAATATTTCTCTCGTAAGAAACTTTTGTCTTCCTGTTTGTACCACGAGTTGTATTCGTCACTTTAGGACATCATCTCTTCTAAGGAATACAGTCTCTGTTCTTGGCCCTAATTACCAGGCAGAAACAGAAGATGTTAGTAAGAGTATTTTGTCCTTCTCAGAACTCATGTTTCTGAGTTTCTTAAGTATGAAATGTTCTGATATCTGATACATTATAAAGATGATTTATAAGGAGGGCCCAATCTGGCCCCTGGATACAGGTAATGAGACGAGAGAGTTACCTGGCCTCCCTCACAGGGTATGTGACAGGGGTCCAGCTCTCTGTTCAACTGCTGGGAGCCCAAACCCCTTGCGGGAGGGGGAGTGCAGGAGCTGGGGTGAGCACTTTAGGCTCCACCCCTACAGTAGTGTCTAGGGGTGGGTGCCTGCAAACCCAGTGTTACAATGCTCTTTGAGCTCTGCCATCCACAGATGACTTAAGTGTTAACCAGCTCAGTGCCCCCTCTGCCTTTGCAGAATCAGGTCACACACAAACTTGAAAGATGAATGTGGGGTTTTATTGAGTGGTGGAAGTGGCTCTCAATGGGATAGATGGGGAGCTGGAAGGCAGGATGGAGTGGGAAGATGATCTTCCCCTGGAGTTTGGCTGATGCTTGGTCAAGCTCCTCTCCAATCATCCCCAGCCAAACTCCTTTCTGCATTTAGAAGTTCCTTCTCTTCTCTCTTTCTCCGCCACATTGTTTGTCTACTTGTCTCCTCATCTGCTCGTCCGCTTCTGAAGCCTGGGGTTCAGGGTTATATGGGTACAGGATGGGGGCATGGCAGGCTAAAAGGCAACTTTTTGGGTGTGAAAACAGGAATGCCTGTCCCCATTTAGGGCTGTGGGCCTCCAGGCTTGAGGGTGGGGCCTTTGCCAGGGAACCACCCTCTTCCACCCAGTATTTTTCTGTCTCCTCTCCATATCAGTAACATGTACAAACTTAGGTGACTTTATCAGCTATTTTCATCAAAGATGAACAGCTCTCCCAGTGGTCCTTCCTCTCTGGTCTGGTTATCTGGCAACTGACTTACGAACACTCCCAGCATTAACATCCTGCCTTCAACATATAAGACAAAGCAAGCCTGTCTCTTCTAATTCTCATGATGAAAATGTCTAAGTGTCTAAAAATGCCTTTCAAAATACCCACATAAAGAATCTTCCCACTTAGACCCTATTACGTTAAAAAACAAAAATCAAATCTTGGCAGCGAATGTTTACCTGGGCTTAGCTATGTGAATCACTGAGGCATGACATCATACATTATTCATCCATTTCATGCAACTTGGGAAGGGCCTAAGTGACACAAAGACAGATTGTTGATGTTGTTTAGAAGAAAAAAAGTGGTACACTACCTAAATATTTAGGACATAAATACTTTACAAAATGGTGCTTTGTAACTGATTTCTGTCCTGATATTACCAGGTAAACTTGATTTACTAAGTATGGAATACCCCCTAGTTCCTTCCACTACAATGGGTACACAGGTCTAGAGACAAGTAAGTATTTTGTGGTTTTCAAGTCTTATACATTTTGGCAAATGGATCACTGAAAAAACCTAATTCATGCCATTTCGCAAAAAGCTAATAGGCTTTCTATATCCAATATAGATTGATTTGTGGTTTTATAAACATGCAGTGTATGGCAAAATAATACTGGTGATTTTCTTCTTGATTTTAATTGATCGACATTTTTTAAAACCTTTGGGAATGTATTATATATTGGGCTTTTGAGAATTAGATTATCAGATTAATTATTTGTTTTATAAATATGAAGGACCTACCACCTTATCACCTTACCACCAAGCACTAAGTGAGAATAAAAGAAGAAATGCTACAGTCTTGGCATAGTAGAGTTTCCATACTGCAAACGGCTAAGGACTAACACTTCACTTTTCCAAAGTTCGGTTGGCTAAGCTGGGGTCCTATTAGGAAAGGAAATTTTAAAAGTGACAGAACATGAGCACTGCCGGGGAGAGTACTTGACCACCTACTATTTCATGCACTATAACTGAACTAAAAAGAGAAGAAGAGAGGGGAAAAAAAGAAATCAACACCTTTGAATGAAATGAGTCACTTTCAATATGTCAGACAAACATAATGCATTTTGTTCACACCTTTCCTTGTAACAGGTTTCTTTCAAATGCAAGGTACATTTTTACACTAGCAATTCTTTTAAGATCAGCAAATGCTGAGTTAAAAACAAAATCTGCAAAGTGCCTAATTCACATATGGACATTTTAGGAGGGGATGGAGCTGGTTAGACCTAGAAGATATTCAGCATTTTCTAAATGCTTACCAGTTCATCACTTTCCTCAGGAGGAAAGGCAAAAGCTGGCTTGCATTTTCCTTCGCTGTAAACATCGGTGTATTCATTTTCTGATCATAAAATAATAATGATTTATAATAGCAGCCCCTCCTGGTCTAAAATCTATTGGCTAGAATCATGTTACTAATGGAATTTAAGCTATTTTCACTTATTATTCATGGTAATACTCAGGTTCAGCTCTGGGCAAAATTGATCTTTGGTGTCTTACTTCTCAGTACAAATTTCTCCTCATGGAGAAATCTAGACCTAGACTCCTACTTACTAAGGTGTTTATAGTTAATGCAGCAAAAGATTCAGTATTAACTCTTCCAGGGGTATTTGCACATTAATAAGGGATGCTTAACATCCCAGGAAAAGAAAAGCGATTCTCTGATTTTGAGATGCCTGGTCCTGACGGCCATCTAGAGTGGTGTGAGGGCCATGAGAACTCTGCGCAGCACCTTCACTATCTTCCATGTGCATCTCCACCGATTCTGCTAATTCGGAAGCTGACTCTTGGAAAATCAGGAAACCACTAAATGTTAAGCAGAAATGTATCTACTAGTTAGAAGTATATATTAAAATAAGCACTTCAATTTAACGTAGAATTGCACTTTATAATCTATGATGTAGAATTTCTGTTTCCTGTGCTTTTTCAAAGTACAGAGAGCAAGACAAGATACATTTTGTTTTTTGTTTACCTAAAGGAAATTTCCATGAACTAAGGGAAAGAGGAAACTGCAGACTGTAGGCGAGCTCATTGGTCTCCATCTCTCCATCTCTACCTCATCTACAGACATTTTTCTTTTTTTTTCTTTTTTCTTTTCTCTTTTTTTTTTTTTGAGATAGAGCCTTGCTCTGTTGCCCAGGCTGGAGTGCAATGGCACGATCTCAGCTCACTGCAACCTCTGCCTCCCAGGTTCAAGCAATTCCCCTGCCTGAGCCTCCCGAGTCACTGGGATTACAGGCATGAGCCACCACACTGGCTGATTTTTGTATTTTTAGTAGAGACGGGGTTTCACCATGTTGTTCAGGCTGGTCTCAAACTCTTGACCTCATGATCTGCCTGCCTAGGCCTCCCAATTTTTTTCTTTTCTTTTCTTTTCTTTTTTATTTTATTTTATTTTTTTTTTTTGAGACTAGGTCTCATTCTGTCGCCCCGGCTGGAGTACTATGATGCCATCATGACTCACTGCAGCCTTGACCTCCCAGGCTCAGGCAATCCTCCTACCTCAGCCTCCTGAGTGGCTGGGACTTTAAGTACATGCCGCCATGCCTGGGTAATTTTTCTGATTATTATTATTTGTAGAGATGGAGTCTTGCTATGTTGCCCAGGCTGGTATTGAACTCCTGGGCTCAAGCAGTCCTCCCATCTTCGCCTCTCAAAGTGCTGGGATTACAGGTGTGAGTCACCAAACCCGGCCTATATCTATTGATGAGAAAGAACAACAGAATTTCCATGAACCTCATTGCCGTAGCAACACTCTGTTTTCAGAATCATTCCTGGGGAAAGAAGAGAGCAGAATGGAACGAATTTTGGACAGAGAACCAAAGTTCAAGTCGTGGACTTGCCATTGTGAGACCTTGAGCAAATCGCATCTTCCTGAACTGCAGATTCTTCTCTATTTTGAGAACTAGTCATCAAAAGTCCCTGCCGGCATAAAAAACGTCTTGAATTTAACAACACAGTAATAGGCAAACATGAATAATGGTCCAACCGAAGCCCCAACTAGGAGTGATAAAGTATCATTTTAAATATTTGAATTACTAGAAATAATGAATGCCATTCTTATTTCCTCTTCCACATCCATTTTCACACTTGCACCTATTACAGCCTTCCAATTATGATTCATTAAGAGGGAAGAAATCTTTCTTCCTGATTTAGTGAAAGGCCCATTTTTAATGTAATTCAGGTCAAAGTTGCCTTTTCTCTTTCGGGTAAAATTACGTAACTACAGAAATAGGATTACAGAATTGGTAAGATAATAGCATTTCCAATAACTAATGAGTCTGATTGTCTGGTCTACGCAGTTGATGTTTCATACGGATCTGTATTTATCCTCTAGTCAATCACAGGCCAAAATGAGAGGGGTAGCTAAATGCCAGTTTTGGTTTGTGCAATCATTGTAAAGGGAAAGCCCTGTCGATTGCCCTGCTTCACCGTATTTTGAGAAATTGAATTTTCCCTACCTCTCCTCAGGCAGGAACCAAACACAGGAGAAGGTCTAAATATGGTAAACAGAACTTTCTTCCATATGATTTCCTGAAGCTGAATGAGGATCATAGGCCGGATCGGTGCCTTTATTTTCATTCAATGCCATTGTCAGATGAACACTTTTTAATAATAGACTACTCTCGGAGTCTCTGATTTAAGTAGTGACTATTGATTGACTAGTTAGAACTTCCGCGCTTTATGAATTGTTCTCTAGAGGTGATGAAATGAGGAAATCAATGTTCTTATTTGCGTGTATAGTCAGTCTACAGAGTGAATTGGATTTTCAAACAGCAGAGACAAAGGGGTATTTTAGAATGCCATTAGTTAAGGGATAAAATTAAAGAGGGCTAATCATATCAAGGCAAATATTGCTAAAGATATTGCTAAACACTCTGAAATCAGTGATTCATATAAAAGAGTCACACGACATACGGCTTTCCTTTTTTTTTTTTTGAGATGGAGTCTCACTCTGTCACCCAGGCTGGAATGCAGTGGCACGATCTCGACTCACTGCAACCTCCGCCTCTCGGGTTCAAGCGATTCTCCAGCCTCAACCTCCTGCATAACTGGGATTACAGGCATGCATCACCACACCCAACTGATTTTTGTATTTTTAATAGAGACAGGGTTTCACCATGTTGGTCAGGCTGATCTTGAACTCCTGACCTCGTGATCCACCGCCTCAGCCTCCCAAAATGGTGAGATTACAGGTGTGAGCCACTGCGTCCTGACTGGTTTTCTTTAAAAGAGACATTGTTGGCCAGGCACGGTGGCTCGTGCCTGTAATCCCAGCACTATGGGAGGCCAAGGCGGGTGGATCACGAGGTCAGGAGATCAAGACCATCCTGGCTAACACAGTGAATACTAAAAATACAAAAAATTAGCTGGCCGTGCTGATGGGCGCCTGTAGTCCCAGCTACTCGGGAGGCTGAGGCAGGTGAATGGTAGGAACCCAGAAGGCAGAGCTTGCAGTGAACCAAAGTCGTGCCACTGCACTACAGCCGGGGTGACAAAGCGAGACTCCATCTCAAAAAAAAAAAAAAAAAAAAAAAAAAAAGACATTGTCGCATTCATCACCATTTCCTTGCTACTTAATACATACAAAGCCATCTGATGAGCTTGGAGTCAGGGTTCCCTCTGGCTGCATGGTCTTTAGCAGGGTACTTAGTTTGCATCTGAATCTGAGTTCCTTTTCCTATAAAATGGGCTAACAATAGTTCTTCCTCCTAGGATTGTAAGAAAGAATAAATGAGACAACACTTGATATGGCGGCTGGCTTATGAAAAGCAAATGGTAAGCATCATTTTACTCATATTATTGCTATCATTATCACTAGTACATGTTGATGGAGTAAACTTTGGAAACAAGTTTTCAGAAGTCTGTCACTCCTTGCCCTGCCCCATGTCCCATCCTCACTCCCACTATTTTAGCTTCAAGTGTCCTAAAACTCAGTAGTCCAAACCAAGACCTGTGACTGCCATTTGGACCTTTGCCTTTGGGTGTTAGTTAACTGAGTATGCTCCCGTACTGACAAGATGTAGCCTCCTGAGCCCTTCTCCATCCCCATCCCGTATAACTAACACTTCTCAGCTGGCCTCATTTCTGTCATCATTGACCCCCTCTGTGTAAACTTTACTGTGATGGGACTCCTTTTGTGCTTATTATCCTAACTGTGCTCAGCCTGAAGCCTCTGCAGGCTCACTACTTTGCCCACACCGGCTGAGACCTGGGACCCTCTTCCATATTTGGCCATCCAGCTCATGTTCCTTTCTTCTGTTCCTCCACCAAGGCCAGTGACAACTCCTTGCAGTTCTTCAACATTTTCAACCCTGGAAATATTTATCTGTACTTCATTATTCCGATTAGAACCACATCAACACTCTGAACCACTCTGGTTTCTGTCAGTCCCAAGTCACGGAACTCCTGTGCCTTCCTGTCCTCCCATTCACTTCACTCCTAAAGGGACACTACAGCCATTCTTTACTGACGGACACTAGTGTCCAGGTTCTTCCTCTTTTCTTCACCAGCTGCCTCTCCTAACCTCGCTTCCCCACATCTCGTTTTCCCACCTCCCTCGTGTGTTTTATAGAATCGTCCACTCCCTCAGTCACTCACCTTTCTGTCTACTTATGTTCTGCATTCCTAACCCTAGGCAGGCCCCGTAAACGCTGACTGCTATTGGAGATCAGAGGAATCTTCTGTGTGATTCATTGAAAAATGCATATAATTACCCCTTATTTGGTACTATTGCTTTGCTTGGCAATGCCTTTATTCATCTTTACTATTTTAAATTTTACTTTAAATTCTGGGATACATGTGCTGAATGTGCAGGTTTGTTACATAAGTATACATGTGCCATGGTGGTTTGCTGCATCTATCAACCCATCATCTAGGTTTCAAATCCCTTATACATTAGGTATTTGTCCCCCGCCCTTCCTTCCCCTTACCCCTTGCCCCCCACCTTCCCCTTCCCCTTGCCCCCGACCCTCCAACAAGCCCCAGTGTGTGATGTTCCGTTCCCTGTGTTCATGTGTTCTCATTGTTCAACTCCTACTTACGAGTGAGAACATGCGGTGTTTGGTTTTCTATCCCTGTGTTAGTTTGCTGAGAATGAGTTTCTAGCTTCATCCATGCCCCTGCAAAGGACATGAACTCATTCTTTTTTATGACTGCATAGTATTCCATAGTGTATACATGCCACATTTTCTTTATCCAGTCTATCATTGATGGGCATTTGGGTTGGTTCCAAGTCTTTGCTATTGTAAATAGTGCTGCAGTAAACACACGTGTGCATGTGTCTTTATGGTAGAATGATTTATAATCCTTTTTACTTTTTATAACCTTTCCCAAAGTCACTATTCAACTCCCTTTTCTTGGCCTCAAGCCATGGCCCTGGTCCTAACTTCCTTAGAAACGCTTAGGCCTCCACTTTACACACACACACACACACACACACACATGCACACACACATATGCACACACAAACACACAATCGTGCCCCCTCCATCCCATATCCTGCCTCCTCTACCCACATTTTCTTCAATACTTATAATTTCAAAAGAAGTATCTCTTCTCTTTATAGAACTAATCCCAATTCTCATATCCCTAACCAATCTTTTCCGCTTTTTTTACCTTCTACCTAAACTCATTCTTTTCTTTCCTTTTTCTATAATTTATTTCCCTTGCCTGAATCAGTTTCCCCACTATCCGGAAAACATTCTCAAATCTGCCTGCTCATTGATTTTAAAAACTTGTATTTCTTAAGGGGAAGGAGAAATGAAGGGAGAAAAACGAATATAATTTATTTATTACCACTGAACTGTACACTTAAAATGATAAAGGTAATAACTTATATACATATATTTTATCTCAATAAAAATAAAATCTGTGTGTCTTCATTTGACTACTTTATTTATCTACCACCATTCCCAACAAAATTTGTGAAAGAGTAATCTCCATCTGCCAATCACTCATTCCTCTGCTCTTTCTAAACTGACTATACCTACACCTGTTACTGAACCAAACATAGATCCACCTGCCCAAAGCACCAAAGTCAAACACTGACTTTGGGATTGCAGAGAGACAAGGTGAGGCATTGATTGCAGGGCCCCAAGCAAGGAGAATCAGGCAGCTCACGCTCCAGACCCGAATTCCCTGATGGCTCACAGGTAAGGGTTTGTAAAGGCGGATGTATGTATGTATGTTGGTTTGACCTAAAAAGGTAAGACATCTCAAAAACAGGTTCACAGGTTATGGGAGATGCAAAGGCAGAAAATTTCTGACTTGTTATTGGTTAAGGAGATGAAGCTTTGCCTAAATATTTGGGGTCAGCAGAAAAAAAAAATGTTATGTCTGGTTTGTGGGCATGACATCCTCCAGGCCCCTCAGGAAAAAATTTAGAAAAACAAAACCGGTGGTCAGATTTCAAGTCCTCAGTCCCCACTTATCTGAGGTCTATGTACCAGCAGATCCATTTAGTGAGGTTTTGGGGTCCTGAAAAACAACTTCGGAACATATGCTAAGATGTTATCTTTAGTTTCTCTAGAGAACAAAACA